CGTGAGTTTAATTCCGTTAGATATCGAAGACCGGATGAGATACGACATGTGCGCGATGCCAAAATTACCGTAGCGATTTTTATCTTCCTTCTTTCTCTATTTCTTTCTCTTTCTTTCATTCTTCGAGATACCAAAGTCCGATATTCACGGTTCGACATGGAAGCTCGCCTGTGGCGTCTGATTAAACGGCCGAGTGGCCACGTTCTAACATGTATTTAGAGTATACCAAGACAGTCAAAGGTGGTATGGACACGGATGAGCCCTCGTACCTGTTCGTACCACGACGATTAGTTCGCTCTTCGATTAGGGAACCAAAGACGTTTTGATACCAACGTATGTGATAGCTATCTCTCTATGTTAGAATCGAACATGGGTCCTTTTGTTCTATGTATTGGTAGTGATTGTGCACGCGCTTATAACAACAACAACAACAGCAACAACATATTCCCCTTCGATGAAATATGTAATCTCCTTGCCGGCGGCCACGTAATACATAATCGAGCACGTTGCAGGTGTCGAAAAGATTGTCTGCTTAATGAAAGATTTAGAACTCCTGTTTTTCTCTCTACAACCATAATATTCTTACTTCCATTCTATGTCGGTATATACATCTCTCGATGCTGTTCAACTTCCGGGGAGTTTGGTAGCGTATAATCTAAGAAATCCGGTGAAATCTTATGAGCTAGAATCTCTCATCGAAACTGCCACTTTAATATGCAATACTGTTTCATGCTTCTGAAAACTGTTGTTGATATCTGTTTATGTGAATTCAAATCTATGCAAGAAGAAAATAATTACCTCCAATTATATTCGACTTATTGTGCAAATCCAATGTAGACTTTTGATAAATCTGTAGGTACTGTTCTATGTTTTCATCTAATTCATTTTGATTAGTTAAGTCCGATGATTTGAAATTCATCGAGTACACGTTTAGAAAAAAAAAAGAATTAGATAATGAAATAGAAAGGATTGAAAAGAAGATATCGAAAGATGAAAATTGCATTTTTATCCGATCGATTCTCATCTATCGAAGCCGTCGTCTTAAGATCGTGGCCAGTCAGAACGTAGGTGACCGGTTGACTACGCGAGAGCTATGGTGGGGCTAGATAAGGCAAGGTGTATGGGAGCTGTATGGCGAGATGTGCAGGGGGATCGATGGGCGAGCCAACGCTGACCGGAGACCGCCTTCTCTCCTTCTTTTTCTTTCTTTATCTTACATCCTCGCTTTCTACCATTTTCTCCTTTTCCCATCTTCCTTCCTTTCTTTCTACCATCTCTACCTCCCTCTCTCTTTCTCTCGTTTTCTTCATCTGCCTCCTCTCGGTTCTTCCTACTTTTCGTTCTCCGACATATACCTGCCTTCTCTCCTTCCAACCTTCCTTCTCCCACGCTACACCTGTCGTGCGCGTACCGGAGTAGTGGAAGAAAGAGAGAAAGGGAGAAGGGAGAAAAAGAGAGAGAGAGAGAGAGAGAAGTGGTACTCGAGAAGTCCTAGTCGAGCGAGTACACGTACTACTCAGCCGTACTAAGGTCGAAGGCACGCCAAATCCATTTATCTCCTGCGTTGGTACCTTCAGTACGTGTACTAAGCCTCCAGGGAGGTGTACCCCCTTCTTTTTTCCTTCTATCTTCTTTATATATATTTATTACTATATATATACATATATATATACATGTGTACGTATATATACGTAGAAACATCGTGAAGGATCTCTTTCTTGGCTTTATTTTAACAACGAAGGTGAAATATTCCACGTTGCGATGCTTTTACTTTCTAAGAGTGACTCGAATTACAAAAGACTGTAGTCTATACTTATAAGTGAGATAAAACTAAAGAAATGAAAAATCACAACTTTACTCATAATTCTAATAAACTCTTTTATGTGTTCTTCTTTATATCTTACTCTCTTTCTATTTTGTATTTGCTATTTCTATCATTGTTAAGTGTGAAACGTATGGTAGATGTTGGTCCTAGCATAGAATACACACACACACACACACACACACACACATATATATATATATATATAGAAGTGAACTCGCTCCTTCGTGAACTTAATCGCGGCCCATTAAAACGGCTCGGCTTGGTTACGCTCGGAATCCATGCGAGACGCGATTTGAAGTGCACCCGTTATTAGTCGGCCGGGTCGTACGTTAGCACGAAGCGGAATCGAAGGTGCTAATCTAATCTGCCTGACGACGATTAAAGGCCGGCAACTTGGAGTTTCTCTCTTACGAGTTTAACTCTTGTACCGTTCGAATTTACGTGTAATCGTACGTCCTACAAATATACACATATACATATACATATATATATACAAACCTGAAGTTGTTCAACGTTGGTCCATTTCAAGACACTTCCAATTACCCGAAGAGGAAAGAATTTCGCTAAAAGATTTAGTCTGGTCCTATAACCCTTTCACCTCGACTTCCTCAACCTCCTCTTTTCATCCTCCCCAAGTGTGCTCCTCTTTTTCTCCATCTTTTTCTCCTTGCCCTTAGGATGGTGGGCGTGCGAGCTCACGTCTGCGTGATCTCTGATAGACGACCTACCCAAGACCCTCCTTGTGGAAGTCCTTTCAGAAGGACTTCTTTCTCTTTCTCTTCGCGTTTCGTAGGAAACGAGGTCGGGACTTACTTCGAACCTCGAACGTTAGAGACGCGTCAAGTCCCAACGTAGGCGTGGCGACCCCCGAAGATTTTTCATTTTTGCATAAGCTTCTCTTTTATATCTTATGATTTGCCTCGGTCTAATAACGCTCCGTGGGAAACCATGATGAAACATCGCAATAATTCTTAAACCCATTCCTTTTCATTCTTTTTTATGCAAATTAATGAATCAAGTAAAATTAAGTTATCAAAACATTCTTATGGATATATTTTCAATCAAATTTATATTTAATTATATGAAAATTTATAATATGACTTATTAGAATATATCAAATAATATTATTAAATAAATAATAAATATGGGATTGTATTATTTTATTAGATTTAATATTATTAAATAATATTATTAGATTAAATAATAAATATGATGGGGTATTCCATTGGTTAGGATTTTTCGCAGATAATTCGAGTGATATTTTAAAATCGTTCAATTGAGTTAATTTTAATAGGCATTTATTTTTATAATGATGAGTGTTTTTTATAATCGATCTATAATATACATCATAGCATTCAGTTTATACATAATTACAGAGTTGTAAATCTCGTTCGCCCTTAACACATAATAGTTAGTGGGTTCGTCGTGCGTCGCGGATAGTCGAGGAAATTGTTATTTTTATTCAGACCTAAAGGACATTTTTTTTTTTTTATTCTCCATAGTTATAATAGATCGGACGAATAATAGGAAATGGATTTAGGAACAGAGGGGAGGGTGGTGGGGAGGGGGGAAGAAGAAGAAGAAGAAGAAAAGGAGATAGGACGATGACGAGTGTAAAACCTAGAGGATCGTGTGACGCGTAGAAAAACTTACACGTTTCGTGCTTTTTTTTCGTTCGTAAACGTCGTCGCGACTTACATCGACGCTCTCGCAAAAATTATGCGAATGTGTGTGTATATTTATATATATATATATTTATATATAATCTATATATAATATTTATAATATAATTAAAGTATATATATGTACAACAAATTAATTACGGAGGACAAGGAACCATTCTCGTGAGTTAAACTCGTTAAATATCATTTTCCGACCTATTGGCGGCACCTAAATCGCAGGCAAGAGAATTCATTAAAAAAAAAACAATTAACAAAATTTTTAATATACAATTCCTGCCTCCGATTGCGAACAAATTCAAGGAAGAGAAAGTAAGGAAATTTAATTGTTACAAAAAATAAAAAGATGCAAATTAAAATTCAGAACAAAAGTTAACACATTCCATGTGACTAGTTGCCATTATTGTGACGGATGATAATAAGCCGTAGTAGGAATTATTATTATTATTTTTTTTTTTTCTAATAAGACAATAAATAAATTCAAAAATTCTATATTTTCATTTATCTAGCACGAGACGTCGCCGTCACGCGTCGCTTTGATTAGCTGGTCGATTTTATTTTCTATTATATCGCTTGTTTTCTGTGTGTGTGTGTCTCTCTCTCTCTCTCTCTTACATTTCATTTATTTATTACTTTGAATTATTATTATTATTATTTTTCCTCCATTTTTATTATATTATTTTAACCAATAGCACGACAACCTTCGATCTTTACTTTAAACGTCGAAAGGTCCTACGCATCTCACGATTTTTTTTATTTTTTATTTTAATTTCTAATATCGAAGGATTGTATTTTGTTTTATTTTTTTTTTTCTGTTTTTTTTTCTGTGTTTATTGTTTTAAATTCCTTTCTCTCTCTTTCTCTTGCTCACGCGCTTTTTTTTTTTTTTATTTTATTTTCAATTTCTCTAGCTGCCAACATAATCGTTTGATATCGCTCCGAATTTTTTTTTTTTAACTCGCTAATTTTTAAATCGAGTCGTTCCTATATATCTCATTTATTCGTAAACCTTTTACAAAAGTCTTCATCTCGTCTCACGATTTTCTTCATTTACCCTAAATTTGGGTAAAAAAGAAAAAACGTTCGTTCCGTCGATCGTTCGCGCTTCCCACGTAAAACTTAATCGATAATTATTCGCGATATACACCGAAAGGTACTATGTTTATATATACAGCAGTGCTAATTGATTATTGATTAAATAGTGACGTATTCGCTAACGTTACGTTATCACAACGATGATAAAATTAGATCGCATAATCGATCGGAGAATCGATCTAAGCGAACGCCTTTTTCTCGAACACACCGAGTTGGTATTTTCGGTCCACCCCACCTCCGCCTCGTGCAATCTTTTCAAATAATCTTTTTGATACTCCACTTTTTTCTCTCTCTCTTTTTCGTTCGTAACTTTTATAGTATTCACCAAAAAAAAGAAAAAAATAAATAAATAAAATCTTACAAATTGGAAAAACAAAACAGAGAGACAAAAAAAAGGGGATAACAGAAGAAATCGTATTTTATAAATTGATAATGCAGCTGTTAAATAAGACAAAAATCTGTCAAAAATATCACTGACAAAAAATACTTTGAACATTTTTACTTTATTATCGTGCCATGACTTCAAACGAAGATTAAACACGAAATTTAACGAATCGGACGGGTTGATTCTCTTAATGAGAGAATTGTCATCTACTTGTGGACCCACCGATAAAGATATCAAGTTGACTAGATTGGAGGGTTCGAAGCACGTCGATTGTTTCTGAGATCTTATGATTATCAGCCGATTTGAAGAAAGAAAGTATAAGAACGCTAGTAATCAAAGTTGAAGTTAGATTTAAGGAATGTTCAGCGATATTTTTGAAAATGTCATTTGATTATATTGCACGTGGATTAATACGAGACGATAGTGCGGGTGGACGATACCCTGGGAGATCAACATGATCGGCGATCGATCGGAATCGTCGTTTAGGATTTTGGCATCACAGTAAGGGGTAGTAGTCGCGTTTGCGGCAAAAAAACGGTCACGAGCCGCTAGTAGATAAAATTGGCAGATCACGATGAGCCTGGGGATCCCTCGAGTGTGCGTCTCTAACGGCTCTCGAACCAAAGACACGATCGCAACCTGGTACGGTACATCTGGCTTCCTCTTTTCTATCATCCGAGCCAGGAGATGATAAAGGTGAGGCTGAGTGAGAGGGTTGTCTGGTAGCTTGTTCCTGCGAGAATCTCGTCAGGTGGTTTAAATGTTGATGAGTCAAACCATTCAGACCAGCCAGGTGCGAGGCAAAAGTGGATAAGCCTGGAAACGTGGCCCCCAAATGAGGTGGTAAAAGCAACGGATGGGGCGGTGGTATCCTAGCAGCTAGTTCCATCGCAGATGGTGGAAGCCTAGGTGTCAGAGGATAAGCACCAAGTGGACCAATGCCCGTACCAATAGCGGCAGCAGCTCCGATCCCAGCAGCACCCGCGTCAGTGTACAGTCTCGCAAGAATCTCGTTGTGCAGCAGAGAACTCATTGGAGTATCATCTACCCGCGGCGACAAGCTGGATGGCAAGCTACCTGACGAAAGAGGTGGACTCGAAGATGTCGAGAGCAACTTCCGATGAAGATTGAGATTGGCCGAGTGCCGATCGCGGGACCTCTTGGATGGGAAGGCCGCGTTGCAACCATCGACGCTGCAACGGTGCATCAGCTTCAGATGGACGTTCTGGTAATGGGTTTTCACACCAAAGTGATTCTGAAAGACCTTGCCACAGGCCGTGCAACGCCGTGGATTGTCACGATCAAGTGGAACCTCCTGGGTACTGACGAAGCCACCATTCTCGTATCTCGCGTAGGTTATCAGGCTATTGTCCATATCCATGGCCGCTGTGGAGGGAGAAGCGCTGGATGAACGAGAGCCATGTGAGGAGTTGTCCATGGTGGTCTCCTGGTGCGTCGTGAGGCTGACGGGGCTGGTAGAGCCGCGGCCAGACCTCGAAGCCACCCGTTGCGTCTCGGTGTACGGCATCATCGTGCGACCCTGCGACAAGGACTCGAGTTGACGCAAAGTGTTGGTCGAGGAGTCGTGGGAGAGCTCGTCAGCTGTCGTTGGACGGCTCTCGACCGAGCTCGGGGCACGGGGGGGATCATCGGGACGCTCACCTTCCTGATTGCGCAGCGCTTCGTCCACCTCATCATCATCATCATCATCCTCGACTTCTTCCAATGGCTCATCGTCCTCGTCCTGCGTCCTCTCGTTCTCCTCCTCCTCCACCTCCTCCACCTCATCTTCTTCCCCTCCTCGCCTCCTAAGGTCGTCCGAGTTTTTTCGAACGATTTTCTCCTCCGTCGTATCCATCTCATTTTTTGCAACCACGTTTTTTTCTTCAACCTTTACAACCTGTATTTCTCCTTCTAGTTTGATATTTTGTCTTGCCCGCTCCTGAGACTCCGATGCCGAATCGCAGACTGCAGTGGTAGAGTTACGTTCAACGTTTGGCTCGTGTAAACTTTGTGGCTCTGGACTGATTTGACGTTTAGGCGACTTGACGCTGCTCGCCCTCGAACTGAGATCTCTCGGCTCGTCCTGAGGTAGATCATCGACATTTTCCTTAGCTATTTCTTTACGAACGCTATCTAACGTCGTTGTTCCTTCTTGTTCACTGTTCGAAGTTGTCTCCGGTGAGTTACGGCAGTTTGCATCTCGGTTTTTCGGTGAGGTTGGCGAGACCTTACGTTCTTCTGCTTCGAGACGTGACATCGACATGTCCTCTGGTTGATTTTGGAAATCATCGACTACTCGAACAATTCCATCGTCCGTTAAAATACGTCGTTGAACTCGTTCTTCGTCGTTCGAGGAGTCACCGTCCGTCGAGGAGGAATGCACTTCCGCTAAGACAGCGCATCTCGTCGGATGCTGGGATTTCCTTTTGCGTACACCCCTGCTGTGGAGAAGGGTATTCGAATTAAGGGTGTTTTGACCAGCACTAAAGGAATGTTGATCGGTGCCACCCACAGAGTCGTCTTCATTGCTATCGATATTACTAATATTCTCTTCGTCAGCCATATCGGTGAAATACAGTTTTGGTCGTTTGGCTAAACTGAAGTCTGCCGGTTGTTCGTCATCCTCGTCGCCTTGAGTTATACGAGAATGCAATCTGGTAGGTACATCGCTCGTATCGTCTTCTGCTACAACGACAATGCCACCGTCATCGTCGTCATCGTCTTCTTCTCCTTCGGGTATCATTGACGTCGATGGTGACACCGTGCAACTGGTTGTACCACCTGTAAACGATCCTCCTCTAGCCGTCGTTGTAGTAGTGGTCATGGATGCAGCAACGGAAGGCGTTCCACAACTCGTAGTCATCGACACTGTGGTGGAAACCGTGCTACTAGGTAAGCCCGTGCTCACGGGCATTCTCTGTTGAAGTGGCTCCTCGAAAGGTCTACCTTGGCCCTGCGCTGAAGACAGGTCGAGATGCTTGAAGTCCAAGGCACAGAGGGACGCTGGTGAACGCAGCTCGGATGGTGGAGTTAACAATGGGAAAGAACCAAACGGCAAGTGATTGAGTCCTGTTGCTGGTACGGGAAGCCCAACCTGTGGTGGTAGAACTAACGCGTGAGCCATTGAGGAACGACCATCGTGAGGTGAAATCTTCCTTCGAAGATGCGGCGAGTGAAGTTTTGGATTAGGATTGGCACTGTGCCGATTTCTCGATCTTCTCGAGCTAAACATCATGCTGCAACCTTTGACGGTACATTGATGCATCTCTCGGAGATGTACCGCACTAAAATGGATTTTAAGGGCTCCCTTGTCGCAAAACGTCTTCAGACAGACGTTGCATTGTACTCTCTTCTTACCGGTGGTCGGATTGATGAAGGGCGTGCCTAGATTTGGTGGCATGTTGGCTGTGGCACCCCATTGTCCCGTTGGTCTTTTTCCAGGAGAATGAGGTTTTCTACCGGGGATACCAGGTGGCCTTCCTAAAGGTGCAGGTTGGAGCGGTAAGGGTGGAGGATGTCTGTGCTCGGCTGCCACGTGTTTAGATGCAGCGTCACGCCTGCTGAGGTTCAATGCACTATCAGAGTTCTCATCGTCATCCTCGTCTTCCTCTGAGCCAAACTCGCTACTCTTTTCACCGCTACTATGGACATCCGTAGGTGCTGTCAGACCGGCAATAGAACCGGTCGACTTAACCATCGGAGGTGGTGGTGGAAAATGACTGGGAAAGGTAGGTGGTAAAGTACCAGAGGAAACAGCTACGGAAAGCGGATGACCAAAGTTAAGCGCAGACGATGAAACCGGTGCCACCGGCATGTGAGGCCTCTGTAATTGCGAGCTGGACGAATGATGGGGCGGACTATGTGGACTTTGTGGATTTCTCATAGACTTTCGACTTTGTAATAGTTGCTCTGTGGATGGTACAGGTGGTAAAGGTGTAAACGCTGGCAATCCTAATGTACCAAGTTTACGAAAATCAAAAGGTTGCATGCTTTGTAGTCTGTTTAACGGTGACACGTTCATATGAGAATCCAGAGTTCTCGGTGGTGAATTCCCTCGATTACTCGTTACTCCTGGATTACCACCGGTCGTAACTGACGAATAATGCTTCTGCGTAGTTGGCGAAATCGAGGGGTGTGAGACTGGGGGTGGAGGATGAGGTGGCGCCAGTGGTGGTTGCAACCTCGAACCCGGCGGTGGGAGGCCGCACTGGAACAGGTGCAAGGGCGGTGGCAAGTGTGCTAGTGGCATCGTCGGTGGCGAAGGTCGTCTGCTGGGTGACATAGCATCCGTCCCCGGCGTTCCGGCGGCCAGTAGCAACTGCTGCACGAACGGACGCGTCTCGGCGAACCTGAGGAACTGCTGCAACACCAGCGGTTCCTCCTCAGCCGAGCAGATACTCCATCGGTCCAGCACCGGGCCGTTCTGCGAATCCTACGGAACAAATGGAAAATTAAATTTCAGTTTTGTGATTTATTTTTTATATTAACATAATATTATTATCAATATAACGTAATGATATGATGATAGAGATGGTCACTGTAAGAAAGGTAAGTTGAATTAAGATTTTCGGAATATTTCATAATTGCTGCATGAAAAATTATATAATTATTTTTATTTCTTATTTTTATTAAGACTGAAATGAAATGAAATGAAATGAAATGAAATGAAATGAAATGAAATGAAATGAAATGAAATGAAATGAAATGAAGGTGCACCGAACTTTTGACCGATGATGTTGGATATGGTATAGAGAGAATGTGTGCAATATAGGTATCGTGAGAAAGACGTAAGTTATAGGACGTTATTAGAAGGTAGAAACGAAACTAGTTTTCCTGCGTGAATCATGTAAGGTGGCTAGCAAGTGAAAAATTCAAATTCTCGCGCGTTAACTCGTTAGAACGTCGAACCAGTTTTTCCCGACTGCGTCTCCCCCTTTCCCTCACCAAGAGCAAGGCCGTATCGTATCCTTCTCCCTCCGTTGCTAATTCTCGTCGCGGTTTCGATCCCATTATTTTTCTTTATCCTCGAAACAATCGATGTCGTGTCTAGACTATTGTGAGATTTTGTTTTTTTTCACGTTGGTAAGTTCGACTCCTAAATCTGTCTTCTTGGTTGATTTTTAGCGAGATTTCGACAGTTGGTATGGACGTCATGGTACGGCCGTTAGAGTCACGGCTTCTTATAAATTCAGGGTGGCCGTTTATATAGAACGCCCGTAAGCTTGTCTCTCGCCGGCTTGTATATTTACACATTCCGACGGACTCGACGTAACGCAGGACGCCCAGCGCCGCGACGCTTTTCGCGTCCCGTGTATATTTCTTCAAGCTGCCGTACGCCGATCGAGAGAAAAAGAAAAAGAGAGAGAGAAAGATGTAGACGTACCAGCTTGGGTACTCGAATTCACGATCAGTCAAATCAACCACTCGAAATTAAATCACACACAAAATTATTGTATTATTTTATTCTAAATTCTTTTTTGTTCTTTTTTAAAATAAAATAGAATTATTAATATATATATTGTATTTAAAATTGATTTGACAAATGATTAATTAATTATTCAAATCTATCTATAATATAGATATAAATATTCATATCTATATCTATATCTATATCTATATCTATAAATAGATATAAATATCTAAATCTATTAATAAATTAAAAAAATAATCAAATCTATCACTACAAAAAAATTGTTGCATTATTTTTGCATTTCTTGCAATTCGTGACAACTAGAAAATAAATGATATACAAATGTTTGTATTCTACGATTAAATAATTATGAAATATAATTATTATTTCATTTAATAATTTTACAATGATTTATATTTAATATCACGAATAAAACGTATATAACATATTATATATATATATATATAATATATTAAATGTAAAGATTCGAAACGTACGAACGTTTCGCACGCGTGCGTGTCTTTCTAAGTATTACGTTGAAAAGAAATTCAGTAAGATTCTGCGAAACGACTAAACTGTTCGGCAGTTTTGCGCGAAAGGAACGCGGAGATCTAAGAGAGGTTGGCGTCTCTAAGAAACGGAACGCTACCGTGAGACTCGAATTTAATTCCGCACGCGAATGAGATCTCCGGTCACGTTTAGCGGTAACTTCTAATCATTCTTTCGGTTGAAAAGAAACCTAAATGTTTAAACGTGTTTAAACCTTTCAATTCGATAATTGTGTTCAAATAATTACCTTGAAATCTTGCTAATGGTCGATGTAAAAAAAATTAAAAAAAAAAAAACAAAAAAAAACATATGTTTTATTTATGTTTTATTCGAAAGTATTATTTTATCTTGTGCTTTTTGAAAAAAAGTAATTGTTTCGAAGGAATAAAATAAATCTCATAGGAGTATATTTTTACTAAGAAAATTTATAACAGAGAACAAAATCTCAAGACAGTTTGTAGTTTGCTAAAGTGGGATCACTCCTTGATTAATTACCGGAATGTGGTACGGTCGTTAATTATTGGCAAGGTTTGGTAGTAGGTAGGATCACTAGAGTAACTAATCGTTTTATTCGCTGGTGTACCAATTCAGTCGTTTGAAATAGGAAACGTTAGCAATGGCTTCGAGATCTTGTTCTAGTGTGAGATTTCTAAACGTATTTGGAATTTGTACAGTTTGCAGAGATATATGCGCCTGGGAAATAGTTCGCGCTCGTTGGACTGGAATAAAGCAGACGACTGTTAGTAAGGAACGAGGAAAACTATTGTGTAACGCATAATTAAGGAGAAGGTAAAGTAAGGTAGAACCATGTAGAATGAAATAGAAAGAAAGAGATAGAAAAGGGTGTAACAAGATTCTCTTGGACGACATGAACGAGATTTCGTCGTCGCCGTCGAGCTTTACTCCTACCAGCTATTATTAAACCTAACATAAGTGGATGCTGTATAATGTCTTCGTTATCTCGACTATTTATACTTCCGTTACGTTGAATTCAACGTAGATTCTAATTTTAAATAATTCAACTGAACCAAAAGAAAACTTCGTAAGAAAATAAAAATAATCGAACAAAATGTATATACAAAGAAAAAAATAAAAAAAAAAAAAAATGCAAAATGAATTTCTCAAAAATGTATCCATTTAATATTACATATCTCACTTCAACGTACGAGGAAACAATCTCTATAAAGTCATTGGAAAGATTTCTAAGAAAAAAAAAATTAAAAGAAAAAAAAAAAAATTCTGATAATATACTGACAACGATGATCATCGTCCAGTCTTTATCTCGCGACACGTCACGCGTGGTACCCGCGACGATGATTCGCTGTCTCCGGTCTACGCAACTCGAAAGGGGCGGGGAAAAAATGTTTGCTTCCAGTTGGTGTTGCCATCTATCGGTACGGTCTCCGAACATGTCTACAAGAGAAGAAGTTGGCTTTGCTGGTGGAAGTGAAGGTGGAGATGAAGGTGGTGGTGGTGGAGGTGGAGGTGGAGGCGGTGGCGTTGGCAGTGGCGGTGGTTTTAGCGATCGAAAAGGCAATGCCATCCGTGACTGGACAACTGCATATGATTTCACGGTCGGCGAGTTCCGTCTTATTCGTGTGTAGAAATCGTGAAGATCTCGCGTGGATATCCGCCACTAAATTGGATCGCGACTACCTGCGTCTCTTCCTTTCTGTCTCCTTTCGATATTAAACTATCTTTCTCTCTCAATCTTTTTAAAACTCCTTCCCTAGTTCGCCTTTCTCTCCTTTACGAACCTTCTACATACATACATACATACATACATACATATATGTATGTATTATCTATCTCTTTCTTTCTTCAACTTGTGAGAGCTAACATAGGCTAGCTATCTCGTTCTCGTTAGCAAGACCGTCAGAGAAATCATCGAATCGTCAATCGTGACTCAGTTGTACCTATCATACCTGTCTTGTGTCGGTATATAACAAAGAGAAATTTCAAACCCCCCTTTTAAACTATTTATTATTGTCAATATTTCATTTCTCATTTTGTACTATTAATAGTTTTCTATTGATCTAACTTATTGTTAAACGTATTCGAATTTTCTAGGATATTTAATTGATTACACTAAACGATATAACATTTGTTATTTTATTAAAATTATGCACATATATTTATATGATTAGTTATATATATATTTGAATTTATTATTATTATTATTATTTAGATATTTATACATGATTGAAAACCTCGAAGGCGACGAATAAGTTTAAGATTATCTCAAGCTAGAGGACTTTAAATATCAAACATGTTTTCCATCTTTGATATTCGATTAAAAATAGAATAGCGTCCTGGAAATTTCTAAGGAAATTCTCACTGATCATCTAGCAAACACAACCCCCTTCTGTGTGTCGGCGATATCGTTTTTCCGTCGATCCCGTCTAGAACTTGGCAAGAGGCTTTGTTTTCCTTGAAAGACCGGAGCCGATAATTCAAGCGGTTTACTTATCGCGCGACGAGCTCGTTTTTATTACACACTTTCAAACTAGCGTCGCAAAACGCGTCATGCGTTATATTCGTACGTACCTCGATAAAGAGTAGAACTATCGAATATCAGATTTGACGAATTTTATATATTGAACGATCAAATTTAAACCTTTACTCAATGAATTACTTTTTATTTATTTATTTATTTATTTATTTTTTTTAATATTAGAAACTCGTAAATATATATTTTTTGTCACACAACGAATCGAAATGAGAAGAGTATTTATTTTTAACACGATCAGTTCGTAAATAAATTTTTATTCGATAATGTACGCAACGTGTGTCATTAAATGTCGTTCTCGAAAATTATGCGTGTGTCTAGTCGTTTTTTTTCTTTCTTTTTTGAATTATTTGAAATAAGAAGAAATAATAATAATAATAAATAAAAAAAAAGAAAAAGTGTTCTCCTACCAACTAGGGACGAAGAGAAGAAGATCGTGACGACGAAAGCAATTCATAATGTCGAAGGATGAACAATGTAACTTTGATCGTACGGGTTCCCTGCATTTAACTAATCATTATCGCCAGGTAATTCATTCTGCCCTCAAGCAAATTCTTTCAAAAGAGTGTGTATGCTCAACTCTTCGAAGATTTGCGATTATTACCCATGGATCACGAACCACAACGACGACTACGACGACGACGACGATCGATTAACGTACGACACGCATTTTGAGCATTATTTTAACATAAAAAGAAAAGAAAAGAAAAGAAAAAAAAGAAACAAACAAGATTATAATAAAAATTAAAAAGAAAAAGTAAACTATATTTATGAAGGAAAAAAAAAAAAAGAAAAAAAAATGATTTATCACATTGAAAAGAATATCACAAACAATAATCGCGAAAGATTTCATCCTATGGTCATTTAAACGTTCATCATTTTGTGTTCATCTTCATTATAATTTTTCTTACTTCATTTTTATTCTTTTCTTTTTTTTTTTTTCTTTTTTTGATGATTCTCAACGAAGTAAAGTTAATGATACACGAGGACCGTTCACGATCGAGAGATCCACTTGATTTTCTGTCAGAATTCGACAACTACTCTCCTTGGACCACTCGAGATAAACGCTATAATTTATCGCGTTCTCTTCGAAATCAGTAAGAAGACGTTTTCTTTCCTTTCTTTTTTTCTTCTTTCCTATTTTTACTTCTCTCTCTCTCTCTCTCTCTCTCTCTCTTTCTTTCTTATTCTTACTCCCTTTCAATAAAATGGACTCACAATAGTTGACATAAATGACACGTCCTGAGTTTTAATTTCCTTACTCAACTCTCGCGTCCTTGTAAACTTCGTTTTATTTTTTTGTTTACGCTCCAATGGATTCTTCCTTCTCTCTCTCTCTCTCTTTCTTTCTTTCTTTTGTGAAAGGGATAGCTTCTACTACCTCCACGGCTTACCTCCGTAATTTACGGTTTTGGCTCATGCTCCCATCGAGGTGGAGTAATGACAGGTCGATCGGTTCTTTGAGCTACCATCTTCGAAGGTGGTTTCTTTCCCTTTTCGTGTCTTCTATCATAGCTCTCTCTCTCTCTCTCTCTCTCTCTCTCTTTCTCTCTTTTTTTTTGATTTTTTCGTTAATTTAACTTCATATTTTTTTATTTTTTTTTTCATTTCTTCTTTCTCTCTTCCTTTCTATACTTTATACATTTTCTTGTAACTCACGTCAAATATAACGAGAGAGCAGAGAGAAATATTTTCGAGTTTGGGTGCCACCTGTGCGTGAGAAACGATTACGTATTCGTGCAAGATCGTTGTTATACTTCGCGGTGACTGAATCGTGCGAAAACAAGAAAGAAAAAGAGAAAGAAAAAGATGATTTATCGTCTCACCTTTCTTTTACTATAAAAAAAAAAATAAAAAAATAAAAAAAAAAATAGAATAAAAATACGAAAGACTCGAATAATTTCAATTCATTCAATTTACACAAGCCTAATAGTTATTATCCATATTTAATATTATAAAATCCATAGTATAAAAACATTTAAAAAAAATAAGAAATAAAAAACAGATTGATCGATCTTTCATATCGTTCGAAAAATTTTATTGGAAATTCTTTAGTTTAAACACGGTTGAAATTAGTCGCACCAGTTTCTTTCACGGTTATTCGAGGAAGATAGAAAAACGTATAGAGAAAAAAAGACGATGAAATAAAAGGATAAAGATAGAGGTAAAGAGAAAGAGAAATGGATTTTATCGGCGGCGCTTTCGCGAAGAATAAGATGAACAATAATAATAATAATAATAATAATAATAATAATAAGAAGAAGAAGAATAAGAATAAGAAGCAAGTGTTGGAGCGATTCGTGACGCGGTCGGCCGCTCGTGGGTCCGAGAGCGCAACTCGCTCGTAAATCTCAGCAAGTCTACGAACAAACGGAGAAGAGGAGGAGGAGGTTGGTTGGTTGGTTGTTTGCGGCGTTGGTTTCGCGTTGGTACCGGATGGCCTTTCCGTCCAGTGCCCCGGTAGTAGTATCGTACGCCAGTTAAACTGGCTACGCTCGTGCCCCTGTAAAATCCTACTGAATTCCACCAACATACCTCTATCTCTCTCGCTCACTCACTCTTTCTTATACTGTGTTACTGAATGTTCCTGCTCCGTTCCACTACCGTTTACCATCTTTCAGTACGCCAAACAAAATTGACGTCCACTTTGACTCGAGAATGGTAAAGTCGTTCTCTCTACGATGTACATCGCGATTTTCTTCTTTGCCTTACGATCTAAACCGTTCGAAACTTTCTACGCGACTGATTTTACGGTGTAATACTCGTGGGATAGCCATTGCTCCACTATCGTTAAAGCGTACTATATCTGGAAGTCCGTCAGTTCTTCTTTTTTTTTTTATATATATTTTTTCTTTTTTTTTTTCATAAGAGATTCGTATCGTATTTTCCAATGTTATTTTCGTGAAATAATCGTAGATAAATCGTATTATTATCGACGATTTTTTTTTTAATGTTCAATTTAACGTCAAATTTATCGGCTATTATATTGAAAAAGAACGAAATCAGCGATATGAGAAAGAGAGAGAGAGAGAGAGAGAGAGAGAGAGAGAGAGAGAGAAAGATTAGAATTTAGTAGTATTAGAGTTATTTAAAGGGGAAGCTGTGGCAATACATTACGCTCGCCTAATTCTTAGGGTAGGGCGGGTTCTCGTTTCGGTATTCCGGGCACGTACGTGTCGTTTTAAGTAATCATACGTTCTTTCCCGACCTACGGTACAAAACGACTTTAACCACGTGCGCTTACTATAAGCGATCCAAGCACAACTAACGTTTCAAAATTCAACCAACAAAAACGTTCCTCTTCTTATAGTTCAATTATCAAAAACTCCTTATCCATAGATTTCTGAAATACATAATATAAAGAGAAGGGTGGATATTGAAGAAATTGTCGGAGAAGAAATGAAAAATACGTTACGGTAAAAGCTTTTTTGTTTATTATAAAACCAAAAAAAAAAATTTGTTCCTGGCAAGAAATATTTTGATCGAGACAAGGTTGGCATCATCGCATCGAGTGATCGAACACGTGTAAAATCGGGACGATCTTACACGATGGCAGTTTCGCTTAAGTATACTCGCGTGTAAAATTCATCGCGATTAAATTCCAGGGTCGTGAGCGCGCGAGCGCGATCTTACAACGTCGGTACGAAGAATCTTCTACACCGGTACGGTACAACGGAGATTGTGAAAAAGAAAAAGATAGATAAAAGAAAGAAAAAGATAGAGAAAAAGAGAGAGAGAGAGAGAGAGAGAGAGAGAGAGAGAGAGAAAGAGATCGGTACGCGTCGTGTGTCCCGGTCGGTCCGCGTTTAAAGCTTCGTGGTGTATCGTGGAAGAAACCGGTTTTCCGTACGTTTTAATTTCACGCCAACATCGGCGCAATTCAGTTTACACGGATACTCCCCATTTTCTAACGCGTCTCGCTAAGATTAATGTCTAAGCTCGAGAGATGGGTACCTACTACACTACCTCGGGCCGCGTACTTACTTGCCGATTTTTACCAACAACACGAACGGTCTCCTCCACATCCTCATCCTCATCCTTATCCTCATCTTCCTAGCACACTCGTCTTCGTCGTCATCGTCGTAGTCGTAGTCGTCATCGTCATCGTTGTCGTTGTCGTCGTTATTTCCGGGCACGTGAAAATAAAAAAAAAAAATCTAAATCGTAAACGTCCTCTCTTTTAAACGCCATACATCGACGATTTCAACGAGTGGAACGTCGTGTTCTTTTCTCTTTCTATTTCTTTCTATCTCATGGGGGGTTTCTATGTATTTATGTTATACATTTATCATCGTTTTATTCGTGACACTTCCTTTTTACGATCGATTCTTAAGCGAAACAAGCTTTAGTAAAAAGAAATATGCAAAACAACCAAAATCTTAACACACATAAACGAAAGATCGTCGCGAGGATCGTCACAGCACAAAAAGCGACGATTTCCCCTTTTCAAAGATCCTATCATAACACCATGGTATTCATTACCATTCCGTTTATTTCTCCTTTTCGACGACTTCCGTTTTACATTCTTATTCCTTTTTCCCTTCTTCATTCGGCACTATTATTATTCTTCATGGACGATGAACTAACAGTCGAACGAAATTTTCTTCGCGACGCTTCGGCGCACTCTCGATGTCACTCTGATCGAACGTGAACATTTCTTAAATACAAAAGGACCATGACTTGTTCTCTTCTCACTTACTTTTCTATATGTTGACATACATATCGATCGAATGAGATACATTTGTGTAAATCAAAATACACGAGGATTCCTGTATTTTTGTTTTGAAGTTTATTATTTCTTTGTATTCTTCATTCATTTCATCGAATTTTCTTCTGTTGTTCGTTCAGACGAATGACACGTTGACTCGAACGAGTCCGACGGAATTCTCCTTGTATATTTACATATCGTCGATCTTGCAATTCACATTTAACGTTGTTTCGATTATTAAAAACGAGTCACTTATCCATCAACAATGCACTTATTTTTCTTCCCATTTTTTCATATCGACGTTGACACTGATTTCTCTGCTTATTCTCATGAGAATGATCATTTCTTTCTACACTATATCGTATCACTGATAGATCCAATTCTCCCGAGATGTATAATATTCCGTACATATATGTTCGAGACACATTAGTTTCTCTCTTTCTCTCTCTGATGTGACACACGATTGACAGAAAATAAGCTGGCAGTAAATCAAATTCGACAGTAGTGCTGATAGAACTTGTCAAAGTTTATTATCCTCTTCTGGTTTCTCCTATAGTTACTTCTGCTATTTCATTTTATCCTCTTTAAATGAATCCACGAGGTTGCTCACCGACGGATCAAATGTCAAACTTGTCGCACGTGTTGAATTCGTACAAAAATCTTGCTGTTGTCCAAGACGTTTTTTGACGATAAGACAAAAGGAAGTAGCGATACCTTCTTAAGAGGATAAGGTATATGGATAGGTATAGAAGATATATGTAGAGGATAATAGAGGAAATAGAGGAAGAAAGATAGAATGAGTGAGAAAAACAGAGAAACACAGAGAGAGAGAGAGAGAGAGAGAGAGAGAGAGAGTGAGATAGATAGAGAGAATGAGAGAGTGAGAGAGGGGAACTCACCTGCAGTATGTATCCTCGTGTATAATCCTCGTAGGTCCAGCCAAAGGCGGCTAGGAGACGTGTCACTTGCGCGTGGGGCAACTGGTTGAACAACTGATCGAGCAAGATCTTAAGGCGTATCGGTAGTGCGCGCGAGCCGTAGAGTACGAGGGATGCGACGTCAAACGCGGCCGTCGGCTCGACAGTCTCTGAAGCTGGTGTCCTCTCCTCCTTCTCCGCGAGTTCGCCACCACCACCAGAACTACCACCACCACTGCCGTTGGCAGTGGCACCGCCAGCGCCGTTACGTTCCCCACCAGTGCTACTACTCCTACCACAACCCGCACCTCCACCACCACCGCCACCACTACCACCACTACAACCACCTCCACTTCCAGCGACACCGGTGACGTCTCCTCCTCCACCTCCGCCTCCTTCTCCAACGGTGCTGCCTGCCGGCGTCGTCGTCACCGTCGTCATCGTCGTTGGCGTCGTCGAAGCTGCCTGCTTTACCCTCCCTACAGCGCTTTTGTCCTCCCTACCAGTGGCACGGGGGCTGGAGACGACATCCCCACTACCGTTATTACCACCACCACCTCCACCGCAACCACCGCCACTACCACCATTGCCACTACCACCACTACTACCACTGGCGATCCTCGTCTGCTGCTGCTGCTGTTGCTGCTGCTGTTGCTGTTGAGACTCCTGCTGCTGCTGCTGCTGCTGCTGCTGATGTTGCTGCTGCTGTTTCTGCTGCTTCTGGAGGGTTGACAGTCGTGCTAACGCTGAAACACACGCCAATGAAAAGAGAAATTAGAAAAATAAGAATATTCTCTCTTCTCTTTCTTTTCATTCTTTCTTTGCCAATATATGTGTGGGTGAATATGAACAAATGGCCCTTACCAAAATACTCTTTTTTGATCCCTCCCCATGTCTCCTGTCCTTATCCATCTTTCTGATAGTTATCTATATATATATGTATTCTCTTTCTCTTTTTCTCTTTATCGTTCCCACGACCGGTTCCGCGTCTATCTACTCATCTCTTTCTTTCTCTCTCACTCTTTCTCTCTTTTCCTTGCTCATTCATTCTATCTTTCTTTCTCTCTCTTTCTTATACTTCATTCTCTGTCCTCGCTTATCGTCGAAGCAACCTAAGTTCGCAATGCTAGCAAAAGGTACTTACTTACCCCCACCTATCTAGTTCAGACCTACTCTCCTGTTCCCCTTCCTCATCTTACTCGACCTCATCTAGTCTATCTCTTTCTCTCTCTTCATCTAACCTCCCGTTCTCTTCGACGATACTACGAAGCATCGTCGAGTGACGAGTACCGTGCTACTCTAGCCGTCGTCTCGCGCGAGTCATCCCCACCGTTCAGATTTTCTCATGAATCTTGGCGTCCATCAACCTGCTGCCACGCCACCGTCATCGTCATCGTCATCGTCGTAGTTGTCATTGGACTATTTTGTAAGTTCCTTCGTTTTTTGTGTGTCAAACTCGTTTTCTGATTCTTATTTCTTCGATCTGTATTAGCTTATATTTTGTTTTGAAACTACTGACGAATTGCAAATGGGACAAACAAGTTTATGCAGAGTCCCGTTAATCATTAATGAATTTAATTAAGTCACTTCGAATCAATGGAAATTATTAGCATTTGATTGAATTTAATCAAATATAGTTGGACTTTGATTAATCAGTGTTATCGAGTGATAAATAACATGAATAAATTAATGTTCTATTACACGTTTTCAACTCGATTTGTCTCGTATATTTAACAAAGTATAAGTAAGATTTTAAATTTAGTGATTTTTTTTTTTCAAAATGAGATTAACTGCAAATAGAATGATTGTTCCATCTATGACGAAGAATTTTCACAAAATTATTTCAAATAAATTCGAATGTTGATAAATTATTAAATATTAATTTTTTATTATTACTTAAAAAAAAAAAAATAACGGCTCTAATAAATTTTCTTTTACGATTATACGTGTTTAAATAATACAATATGATTTATAATTCATAGTTTGTTCTATATATTTTGTAATTTTGAAAATTTCTTGACCGTATACCGAATGAACAAGTAACAGTATCCCTTGAACGTTCGTAATGTGCACACGAGCAGATCGTATTTGATTATCTTATGCGAATGATAAATGTAGTTCTCGCGCAAGGCGTTTGTTAAAAAGCACATATATATATATATAAGAAGAAGAAAAAGCGGACATCGTTGTTTCATGCGGACGTGAAGGTAAGACAAGGTAAGACAAGGTAAGTTAAGGCGTAGGTCTTTCGGGACGCTTTCCCCGTAGAACCGTCACGCTTTTCGCACCTGACGATTCCTATCTCGAGACACGAAAGTTTATGGGGCCTTCCATCGGTGTGGTGGCACGGTCTCTTTCTCTCTCTCTCTCTTTCTTTTTTTCTCGATCATATCGTCATTGGTCGTGTACAAAATCGTACGACGAAAACGTTAATCGAAATTGTGTTTGTTAATGTTTTTCTGCCTATCGGTTAACTCATCGAACCTGAACGTTGTCGGAAAAGGCGTGAACATTGTCGTGAAATTTATTTATGTTAGATCTCAAAAATAAACTAATGACAGAATGTATAAGTTGGACGGACACACATTTGTTACATTTTATTTTATTATTTTAGTTTTTCGTATTTCTAAACAATCATTTTTCAATACATCATCTAGATAAGAGAAAAATAGTAAAATCAATTTGCAAGATCAATTAATCAAATATCACACTTATATAATAATTTTATGACATAATAATATAATTTTTTTTAAAATACAAATACAAAAATATCAAAGATCTCATTAAATCTCTATGATAATACAAATTAAAAAATCTGTCGTCGTGCAAAATAATAATAATAATAAAACGATTGATCAGTCTACCTGTATCTCGATAATCGAATGTTAAATTTATATTTTCATGCTTTCAAGATGATAGAAAATCATTCTCGTGATGATCTTTAGTTTGTGGAAGTACGTGCGGGAGGATCTATCGCGTGAATTCTTTTTGTTCTCAAAAGGGGGACCTTTAACATTAATAGGGCGGTATATTTCTTACACGACGATGTGCCCCGTTGGATTTGTGATTGTCGTTGTAGGTGCTACGGAGAAGCAACCAGGGACCTAGTCAGTTAAAGGGCCCACCGCGAGCGGTCTCGACCCTCGCAGCGTGGTTCGCAGCATGAGCTTGATAGAAATCACGGAGTCATCGAGATTGGGCGCCACTTGTCATTAATGACACTCAGATTTTCGATTTAATTAAAACTCGATGACGATCTTACCACCTTATATATATATATATATATATATAATAAGAAAGGTTATAGTTGTGTTCATCTACTACCATGGTGTCTTTTGAATGATCTTTTATTTTTTCCTACGTGATATTTCAACTCTTATTTTATCATCTTTTTTAATACTTTGATTACTTTAACGTAGACTATTATAAATATAATCACCAGTTCTATCAATGATTAGTTAAAATGTTATGCGTTTTTGCTACAATTCGTGCTTTTTAATGGAACTAAAGAGAGAGATTGTGTGAGATTGAGAGAGATAGAGAGAGAGAGAGAGAGAGAGAGAGAGAGGAAGGAAGGAGGGTGAGGGAGTTAATATAAATTCGATGGGTCGTTCGTTAGCTCTACCAACGGTACCAACCTCCGCCCCCCCCCGCTCCCCAACTAAAACGTTATTCCGTCAAAGTAAATGAGCTCGGTAGTCAATCGGACGAAATATCTCGAATATTTCGTTTCGTTGCCGAAGCGCCAAGCCTGTTTCGCTTTAACTCGCGATTAAAAATTCCTACCATGGAAAACAAGCCGCGATACGAAAATATGCCGGCGATTTTCGAGAGCGGTCTGTGCGGTTGAATTACATGACGTGGAGAGCGGATTAAAAAAAGAGGACGTAGACTGAGTATATGTGTTTGTATATATGGGCATGTGTATATGTAGAAGAGAGAGAGAGAGAGAGAGAGAGAGAGAGAGAGAGAAAGATAGGAAAAAAAACAAGGGTGAAAAAGTGGCAAAATATCGTGTCAATCTATGGCCAGATAAAATCGCATTCGTTGTCGTCGATGTGATAAATAAAACAGAATTAACACATATGCATTTTACATGGAGGATTTTTCAATAGATCTTTTCACGTGTAACCACGTAACCACGTATGTAGGGTATATACGTACATATCTGATTCATCGTTTTTATATAGGGCGACCAGTTATGTAATCGTAATGAAATATATATATATATATATATATATATATACTATTATTATTTATAGATGAATAATACAAAATTGTAAACAAAACATATGTGTGTATATAAAAGTAATTTCTTTTAAATATTTGCATTTAACTATGCATTATTATTTACTATACTTTACTATACATTATAAACTACCACATAGTTATTTGCAATTAACTACGCATGCTAATAGTCTCACTTTGTAAACGTGCCAACTATAGAAAATTTGGTATCTCTTTTTTTTTTTTTTTGAACATATTTATGCAGGTTAAAAAGTTCAATAAATATGAGGAAACATTTGTGGGGGAAAAAATTGTAACCAATTTGACTTTTTGGTAATACATTTTAAATTGAATTAAGAAAACGAGACGATGAAAGTTAATAATAGAAAAAAAATTATTCTTCAGCATAGTTCATCTTTTTTCTATTGTTCTTTCACATATGTACTTCAAGAACAGTAGTTTGATTATAACTTCAATACACGTATAATTATTTTTTTGCTCAAATTTTATTAAACGAGAGACACATCGAAAAACAGAAAGAGAATACAGGGGTGCGACATCGAATATCCGCAGCGAATGCGAACAACGAAGGTGGTTGGTGAGAGTAACTCAATACTCGTGTTGAGTTATCAGCGCGTAGCTGAATTTACACAACTGGGAAAGCGCATTTTTACGCTTCGCGTTCGAATCGACGTTGTTTTGACCGCGAGTATGTGTATATATCTCCACGCAGTACGATTCATCGGATTTTGCGAGATTTCCGTCGCGTTCCGAATATAACTTTTTTTTTTCTCTCCTCAGCTGACCAATACACGTACATGAACGTGTATACGTGTTCATACGTGAACCGTATAAACGTGCATGTTCCATTCGGACTTTTTTTTGTTGTTCGATATATCTCGTTCGAAAAGACATTGCTTACTCTAGAGATTACGTTTACTCGTGTCAGTAAAACAGTTCTTTCTTTATGTGCAACATGTTTTTTCAACACAACGAATGAAGCTGTTAAATAAAAATACATGAAAATAAATAAACACAAGAACAAATCTTTTCTCAGTGTAATAAAAAGCTTTAAATATTTCAACTACAGATACACATACATATACGTACAAGCTACA